TCGAAAAGGACGATTTATTGTTGAAGAGTAAAGTGTGCGTGCTCATGTAGTACAAATGTTACGCTGCGTTAGATCAAATGTTTGAACTCATTTGCGTTGTACACTGTTCACTGCCATAGCAACAAGCAATTACGTAAATGATTCTCGTTTTTTTATTCGTCGACCATATCGTTTCGTTCGTTTTCACTCGTCGTGTTTGTTGTTTTTTATTTTGAATATTCCTTGTTTTTTCGTAAAGACCGCCATCTTCAGTGACTGTAACAATGTATGCAATTATTGCTATCAGTGTATATTATTACGGCAATTAATATAACTGTTGGCAGTGCCTGTTTTATTTATGCGACGTGCACAGCATTATTTGTACTTGCGATGAGCGAGTTAAGCAACAAAAATTATAATTACATCCTTTACTCCGCCTTAGGCATGTCCACCTGCGTAATTTAGTGTCTAAATAAATCATCAACGCGTTTTGGCGCGAAGTTGCATTTCCCTCATTCGTTATAAGCTACATCCATGTTCTAATGTTATTACATATTTGGAGCGGTACAGCTTTTTCGAGTCCTTTTAGCGGGCTAAATTGGATTTTGGGAACGGATTGAACATTGTGACTGGAATTAAGTTAGTGCTCAAAGGCAATAGATTGGAAAGCCAGAGCGGAAGCTACGGGCGAGTGATGCTGTTCGTCCTTGGTGCTGCGATGACGCGCCGTGGCTAATGACCACGCCCTCGAAATTACTTAACAGCCGGAATCCACGAGCTTTAGAAAAAGTTCGTCGTTTTTATACCGTTTTTCTTAAAAAACGCCTACAAGTATCAATGTTAACAAAGGTTTAACGATCGTTCTCAACCTATCTTAACCAACTAGGTATTAAATTTTTTTCGAGCCGGTTTCGGTGAATTTTATTGTTGTTTATTTACAATAACAATTTCTACTGGACAGTTTGCAATAAACATCGAATATTCTGGTCAAATTTTGTTTACGCCGTTCTTTGTCCTTCGTAAGAACCGATTTAATTTCAGCTTTTATTATAATCGATTTACTATAAATTCGTAAATGTTGTCGAGTTTGGTAATGTTTGCCTGCTATTTCCACTACAAAGACAGGCAGAAACTCCAAGGTCGGTTCAGTAAATCTGCTTAGTGAAGTGTTGCATAGTTACAAGGTGCGTACGCGCACGGTAGCCGTGAAAAATTGCAGGTTGATTTAATATTTTAGGCGCGTACAACAAATGCTTTGTTTTGCAATCGCCGCGCGCTTATAAGTTAACCCGTCACTCACTATTACGCCCCGCGTTATCTGATGTTGTAATCTGATATTACGTGTTTTTAGCGGTGTCTTGTCTTTTTAACAGTCGCTTAGAGAACTAAAAAATATGTGTACTACACCTAATTTCTCGTAACAAAATATGAGATCTCATTTTAAGGATATTTTCCAAAACTTTAACAGTATTGCTATTTTCAAATCTAAGTTACTTATTTTTATTGCTTAACCACCCTAGTTTAATCTCTTGATTAGCATAAGCATAACTCGTTCCAGGAAAATTTCGCTTTGAAACACGGCGAAGAGATTAATTGCCTATCTCTGAATTTTCGCTCAAAGGATGAATGACCCTAAAGTGGGACTCTATAAGCTCTTCACAAATTGAGTTATATTTCTCATTTTTCGTATTTCTATTTCTCCGAGTTCGTATTACTCATTTCCGTTCCTAAGTTATTCCTCAGATATCCATTTACGTCGATGTATCTCCGAGGAGTCTCGGTCAGCGACCAGTCAAGGCTCACATCTCATTTGAACGATCACGAGGTTGAAAGTTGAAACCACTTGCCGCGTCGACTCGCTATCTAAATTTGAATAATATTCATGGAAGTTTAAATTGGACTTCTGAATGGATTTCATATTTTTCTTCATTAATTGTAACGTTGGAAATTTGTGTTTCTATAATTTGAATTTCTGAATTATTTGATAGGAAATAATCGTGTAGTTTTACGAAATATTATATTGATGCTTGGAGTTGTCTGTTGTTGTCGTAACTTATATGCGTTTCGCCACAATGTGCTTAAAAAGACGAACACAAATCTCGCACAAATTGTAAGTTGCGGTTAGCCGTTTGCTTGGACATAATGCGCCTCTCCTTTACCAGGTACTAAACCTTAATGGTAGAAATAAATTGAGGTCTCGCTTCTCGATGCAAGTAGGAAACTCTTAGGCCGTTCCAACAGCGACATTGAGCTTAAGACATTGCATTCTGCCCTTGCTTCATTTACTCAGACCGCGTTAATATAGTCATACTTTGCAACAAGCTCGCACCTGTTTTATGTGACCTTTGCCTTCAGTCACGATATTCGCATTTTCTCTTTAAATATCTTATTGCGACCTACCGATCGGTAAACGTATTCTGTTTGCGCATTCAAATAAAACTACAATTACAGTTTTTGTTTCATTATTTACTTATTCCAATTTTATTTTGTGATTTCTTCACGCGCCTTTATCATTTAGTTTTAAAGTTTTTGATGGGTTATTCTCTCATTCTTTTTCACGTTAGGACAGAATTGAAATCAAGCTCAAGCGTTAATACGTTTTACTGTTTTGTCAGTCTTGTGAAAATAGGGTCGTCTATTAGAAAGTGATACGAAAGAGCCCGTTGTTAAAAATGGTCACCCAACTTCTAACAAGCTGCAGCAAGCGTTTAAGTAACTTTGAGCTTATTCTAATAAACCCTTATCGATATGTGACAAGTAACCTAGTAAACATAACTTATTTACCGCAGACAGCTGATAGTAAATTTAACCCTAATACATACATTTTGCGGTCACCACCATCACCCTATCGTGCCTCCGTCTATATCGTGATAGCGTAACCTTTTCTAGGTATATTTGTGTTCAGGGCAAGTGACGTCCACACGCTGACGTTTCAACTGTGGTTTGGTCAATTTGTTGTGTCGTGGTAATTATCGCTAATGGTTATTGAATTTGTGACGTAATTTAGTTATGTTTGGTTGGGTAAATCTAATAATAGTCCTACTGCAGGGACTCGTTAGCCTCGCAAAAGTGTTTACATTGAATTGGACTTGTGGCCATAATGCCTGCGTAAGTCATTTTTAGGGTTTTTGTATCTGTTCTATATGAACATAACGACAGTAAATGTCTTTTCGGTACAGAAAAAGTATGGTACCTACTCCAGATTATCATACATTTATTTAAAAATATTTTGTTTCGATGATGAAGGTCATTTAGGAGTGTGCACTCTGCAGTTGATATACCCATTTGAAATTTAGGTCAGCGAAACTAATTTTGACGTTGCCGCAAATAAATTACGATGAAAATAAAGCTTTCGTATTTAATTAACTTTTTAAAGTGAAGTTATAATTGTTTTATTATCTCTGGTCTGCTATCAGATCTTGTATGTTATTGTGTGGTCATAGTACGTTGGCCCTACCAGCGGTTGCTATGGCAACGATACTTACCGTTAACGCTTCTGCCATCGCCGAATAAGTTCGACGATGGTGTGACGCAACTTTGCGATAGAATCTCTTTAATTAAGAATGTATTTAAGGAGTTTACTGAATGTTGCTAGTTGATTGATTCGATGAAGACGAGGCGGAATTGAGATGATTTTGAAGTTGGTCTAAGCGATGAACTGATGTTTGATGATATTTTTGGCGTCTTTTTGTTTAGTTAACTCTGATATGGAAATATCAAAACTTTAAATTATCAAGTTCCTTTATTTACCTTACCTATTGATAGCTCACATTTATAAATGCTTAAACTGTCAATAGTATAAAATTTTGAATTAGTTGGTGATCAATTTCAAACAGACTCCAATGTCCTAAGTCTGTCAGGAGCTCAATATAAGTAATAACATAAGTAGTTATTTGATCTTGAATAAAACATAAGAATTACCCACGGAACTTAGTCCTTTAACGTAAAAACGATTGTAGAAAAACTCGATGACCTCACAATCGGATTGTTTCTGATTGAACCGAGATATTTGATTAGTGCTACTTGTAAATGTTCATTCGAGCGATAAGGTTCACCTAACCAATTTCAGACTAGGGTAACTTTGAATAGATTACGTATCTTGAAAGTTTCGGCAAAACCCACCGGATTCTCGAACATCCTGTATCAGCTGAATATCTCTATGTAATTAAAATTTTATGTATTTTGGCAAGCAATATGCATAATTGCACATCGTAACCTTGTTCTGCTATTGTTATGTTCATTATGTACGCAAATAACTGACATGTTAAATATTTTATACACGTCGTTGTTAACTGAGTGCAATGACTGTTGCATTACTGTTAGAACCTCTGAATATATAGGTACATGACTTACTCGGATAGCGAAAGAATACTGATCCGATGCGACGTACGCGTGACGGGAAAGCGGATTGTATGGGACCCTGTTTCTTTGTTGTTGAACTGTCAATCAGGACGAAAGGAATAAATTCTGCTATTTTCTGTGATGTTAAAAATCGTTAAAGGATGCCAAAAAGAGTTTTATGCGAGGTTAAAGTTTTCACCAGAAAACTGTCTGAACTTTATCAAGATAAATCAGAAAGCGTGTTACTATGAGCAAAATTGAGATGACTTTTCGGCTTATTTAATTTTCACAGTTTGAAATAGATTTAGAGAAATTTACTGAATAAGTAAACAATCATTAGGTTAGCTAATTAGTTATAGCATAACGTTGATGCCCTATCAAATGCTTTAATTATAAAGAAAATAAGCGACACACAACATGGATCGATTACATTTTTATGATGTACCTAATATTAAGTGTTGTATAAAAATTTTCACTTATTTTTAGATGGATGTGAAACCTGTGTTATTTAGTCGTCTCTCGATATTAATTATCAATTGGAACAACCTTTTAAAGATTCAGTCATATCATAGTGTAAAGAAACCATAAAAAATCCAGGCGAAAATCCATCTAAAAATAACGAAATAATGTTAAGCATTTGTTTGTATTGTCAATTATTTCTTTAACACCACCTTGTACAGATATCACAGACAGGCTTATAGCGATGGGCTTTCCCGCCGAGAAGTTAGAAGGAGTATACAGGAATCACATAGACGAAGTGTACAGGTTTCTAGAGAAGATGCACAAGGACCACTATAAGATATACAACCTCTGCTCGGAGAGGTCTTATGATTCGAGCAAATTCCACGAAAGGGTGAGTACAACATTTGTGTCCTTTTTTACTTTTTATATTTCCGCCGGCACATATCCTGCCACAATGATGGATGTAAAATAATCACTTTAATGCGTTGTCGTTAATCAAACACAATTACGCGAACTGGTTTTGCATCTCAAGGTCTTATCCGCAATATTGTGGAAACGCAAATTAATTACAATTTAGATGTTAACCGAATTTGTGAATTCAGGATGACTGATTTACAAATCAGAAGTACAACGTACCGTACTCAACATCCACATTTCGCCACGAGAGCTTTTACTGGATTGAGTGCTCAGAGTTCTGAATATACTGAAATTCGAATTAATACTGCATAATTGTCGCGGACGCTTTTTTTAAAAAGTATTTCATAAGAAGGATTGATTGAATATTGTGGTTTTCATAAACGTCACTCTTGAGAGATGTATGAGGTTTTACCCGCTCAATGAGTAAAGGAATCATTGACTTGATTCGTCACCCGACCTCCTTTCCTCATTCTGTTCCTAATGTCGGAATTATGTATAAGGTAGGGTTTGGTAATTGGAATACACTCTTACATACAATTACGTAAATCTTGCGAGTGATTTGACGCGTTTACACGTAAATTGATGTTTGCAGTGTTGTGTTACAGTATTGTTGGGAATTAATGACATTCTGTCGATTCCATCAAGGGTCCTGAACTTTTTACTCCATTTGCTCTGTCGTGACGACGCAAATTTGTATAAAATATTTATTTTTGTGGTTTTACTATCGTAGACGACAGTAAGAATTTTGATTTTCAACGTTCCTGTACCGACAGGTCAGGACGATCTTATTAACCCGGCTTTAGCATTACGTATAACTTCTCATCACACGTGGCTAATGAATAATGACATAAGTACTAGACTTAGTGATGTGATGTTCGGTTCTATAAAATTTTAAAATGTTTTCTACTTATAAGGGACTTAATCCTCCGTCGCCGTGGCATGTGCTCTAAAAATAACTACATAGTTGTCATTAACGTGCGAATTTAAATTAGTTAATACCTTAAAGCAATTAATTTTTAACGACTACACCTACAATTTCGTTTTGATAACAAAGCGTAAGGTGAAACAATGTCAATGCAATCACCTCGGTAAATATTTAAATTGAACCTTTTCATTATTTAATTACCCTTTTGGGTCAGCGACAGAAATCTCTCCCTAATTTTAATTAGTTTTTTCGTAAAAAAATTCGTAGGAAAAAAGAAATTTTGTAATAACCTCATAAAGGGATTTTATGAATTTTGTTAGAACATGAAAATGTACAGCGCTAAAAGAGAGAATAATAAGGTATGATTGATTCCTATTGAGAGAAAATCAAATTACAAGTACGCACTCTATATCTAGGTTATCAAGAACTCCGAGCGACTGTTATTTATGTTTTATATCCTTTATGTACGGAAGCTTTATATATTACGTGCGAATATTTAACATGCCGCCCGTTGCGCTGCAGTTTTTTCTACATGGCCATGAAATACAACTCCAAATAAAATATAAAACTCCCAACTCTTTTGATAGAGGCCATTGTGCGTCAAGGTTATATTGTAACAAGTTTTTTGAATGCAATATTGTTGCATAATCCCCATCCGTAATGGCCCTTCCCCTTCTTCACAATTAGTGTTCCCTGTGTGTTAACCCTCGCGTTGTAACAGAGGACCAACGGTTTGCGGATCAAAAGGCCACAATAAATGCAAAAATATTAATGTTTTGATGTTTCATATTCTATTCAGCGAACTAAGGGTTGTAGTTGCTATTAATTGCATAAATAAATAATTCACAAAATGGACCATGCCATCTGTCATTGAGGCGAAAATTTTGAGTTTTTTAAACAAACCAATGTTCAATTGAGCGCTTTTGCCTCAAAACTGTCAAGATAAAGTCCATACGAGTGTCGGACCTATGACGCTGTGCAAACATTTCAAGTTTTAGTACAGCCAATGTCACCAGTCATCGGCGAGGGGTTAATTCTTACATAATTGTTGGCCGAAGCGTTATCTGCTGCAAGCTGTGACAACACAAATATGATTATGAATAGGTGGCGTGTTCGAAGTCACGCCTCTGACTCACACCTTGCGAACGTGTGCTCTTACACGAATCATACATCAACTCTCAAAATCATTCTTATAATTTCACCCGTAATACACATTCAAATAAAGACGAATTTTCCATGGTAAAAATGACCCAATCACTGTGGTCCTCGGATTGAATGTACCTACCAAACATCAAATGTTATTTTATATTTAGCAATTTTGTCACCAAAGTTTAACACTTGTATCAGCTGTTTTAATACATATGGTTCCATTAGCAGCGGAATGGTTTTGAAAGGAATGATATCCAACAATTTGCGGAAGATTAAGTTTGGAATTGTTAAATGGTGCGCAATTTTGAAGGGGGTTTTGTGATGGAATAAGGTCGTGTTTGATCAATTTTGGCACACGATTCGAATACGCCGTTATGTCCGCATTTTGGGAAAATAATTTCTAAAACCAAGAACAAAAACTGTTGGAAAATATGCAAAATATATCATCATTATTAGTAAGTTGCGTAAATTGCATTATGAATAGATATAAATTGTGTTGTTCTAGTTATTAGGGGAAGGAAGGAAGCAATATTTTTAATAGTTAGTAAATATTTTGCTTACCGAATTCTGGGAACTGCTACGATTTAATAGGAAGACAAAAGCTAGGTTTTTTATGGACACCGATAGTGGTGTGCGAGTCGACATGGACGGTGTATTCTGCCAATTTCTAAAGTGGGAGTGGCACGAGGGTACCAAAATAAACTTAATATATTCCTTTACGTTATTATAGCAATTAACTTAGTAATATTTCGGAAACATCATTATCTCTCTCACAATTTTATAATTTTAATAGCATTAGTTTTTATATGAACCGTTTTTTATATGGCGTCCCTTAAACTATTGGTTATAAGGTTTAAAATACATAGAGTCCAGTATATACTGGCCGCTTAGCAACAGCCGCGGTTGTAAAAGGCGAATTCTGTGCACGATAAGTAGAAGACTTAGTCGCCATTGACGTACAACTGTACACATAGTACCTACTATAATCCTAAGGTCTTTCACAGCTGACTGTTAAGATTCTCGTTACAGTGACCTCCACAAACACCTGTGCATAACTCCCAGCCGGTTCTAAAGGCTACTTTGTCGTCTATCGCCACTGTACTAGTAAATAGTCAATATTCAATATTGTTTGACGTAGCACTGAGCCAATACTTACCACTCGTATCGTATTATAGATTTATGTACCGATTTGAGATTCTTAGCAAATATCTCATTTGTTACGTGTTTGGAGGAATTTGTTGGCTAATGCAAGTTTTGACGGTGCAGTTGTCGGTTGCACGATTTCTGTGTTGCATTCATAATAAACATATAAAGAAAAAATGTTTCAACTATTTTTTATAAAAAATCATACATATACAATAAACCTACAAGTTTTAGTGCCCCTCATAATTGATATGAACCTCACTGACAACTGACTACCCTCATGAGACGAGCCACGTCCGTACTATTCAAGCTGTTCTCTTTGTTTTATTTCTTTATTTATTTAATTCGCGTTCGTTTTACGATCACTACAGAGGGCCCCGAGCATTTAAACTAAGATTAAACAATAAACTGAACCATCAATAAAGTTGATTTTATTTCGACATCTTTTATCAACGTCTTCAATTCCGCTAACAAATGCTAGGGTACCTTATGCACGGGGGATTTGGCAGCTATACGGGTCACGGTGACGTCATCCTACCAACACACGCATTTTATGTATACAGTCTAAAAATGTCACAGACAGTGTTAACGTGCTAGTAAGTTCAATACGTTATTTATTATAATAGAACAATGTATGCTAGCCATAGACATGTTAAATGGCAGATGCGTCATTCGCGTGTATTTATGTTAGTTGCGTCAAGTTTTAGGTAATTTATGTCTTAGGTAATATTGAGTCGGTTGTAGTTACGGCGGGGTGAGGTTAATGGGTCACCCATATTGTCATACTCTCATTTTGAACATTTACCTAGTATGTATAAGGAAGTATGTTGCGGCTAAGGACATTAAGGTGATGTAAGTAGTCAATTATCAAAAATTAAGACAATTTCTAATGTGTGCCTACCTCTAGTGATCATCTCAGTCGTTTTTGCTATGTAATACCTATAGTATGAGTGCTACCTAGAAACAGCATTTGCGTCAATTCAGTTTGCCTATTTGTCTGTCAAACAAGCTGTATTGAATTAAATCCAAATATCGTTCATCTATGTAACTTGCGCTTGTTATTCAAATCAGATTTGCCTCATATACAAACCATTTGCTATTTATGATTCCAATTTGTAATTGTAATATTTGGTGTCAAATCTATCTTTCATCCAATTCCAGCACTGCATAAGTTATGGCATCGACAGCATTTAACGTCAAAAGCTGGCGTGCAATGACGCTGGGTCTGCAATTAGACTCAATAAATACTCGGTTTAGAAATAGCTATTCACAACTTCTCTATATAAATAGTAATTGTAAATGGCGACTACATTGCCATTGCAATACAAGCCAAGTTTATAAGGAAATTCTCAACGTAATGATTAAAAGCATTATTTTAATTGAGACCGTAATTTATCTGAAATACAACACTAATGAGGGGCGACGACCCCGCCTGGTGGTGTAAGATAACGAATAACTTTGTACCCCTGTACACGATCTGATTACGGTACTCTCTTATTTGAAATGTTGCTAAATGTAAGAGTATCATTAAGTTGAAACAAAACGATGGGAATTGAACAAAGACAGTGTTTAATTATATTCTGGCAATTAGTTAATGCTGTCCATTAGCTGGTAGATTGTTACTATCTGTAAGGGATATTCATCTGCGGCTTGTAAGCCATTTAGGAAGTAATAATCTAAGGAAAATAAATAGCCTTCATTTGTCTAACTCATTATCTTGATTTAGACTTAAAGAAGTCGGTTCTGGTGATTTAGTT